TTACTGTTTCATTAGAAACACCGACGCAGCTCAAACTAGTTTTTAGCTAGTTATCTCTTAAAATTGATATAATACATTTCAGGCTTGATAAGCAAGATGCAACAAAACTTTCACTAATCTTGTTTAAAATAGCTGTATCTATTCTGTAATTAGTGTTATCCTATAAAACTAATTATCCTTACTTCTTGGGGAACCTTTGTTTTGCTTGAGATGAACAAATAATGGTCAAACACATAAGACCTTCCATTGCTAGCTCCTCCTTGAGATGCTGTGAAGAAGAAAACATAAGTACTGCATAAGACACTATTCATCTACTACCTCTTACAGTATCCCCTTGACAGTGGGGGAGGCTACCATGTACCCCCTTTTTGAAAATACTCTTCATAACCTCTCTTTAGAATTTTTTTTTTAAATCTCAGAAAAGAGAGTATAGCACTACGTACTCCATATAATGCTACACCAAAACCTGATGCTCCCCAACACCCCTTCGTTTTGGCRGTTGGTTCACTTCTGGAGCCTTGGGTTTTATTCCTGAACTTGGTATCCCATGTGAGTAGAGTTTGTTGCATGGGATTCTCACTTAAGGTATAATGATATGTGATGTTACCAGTATCAGACACTATCTAGTGCTTGACTTTCATGAGGCTATGCCTTCATCAGCGAACCCAAAAGGGTTTCATCATCTACTGGTACAATCAACCACTGGTGACACAAAGCAACTTGTGACAACCTTTTATGAAAATTAACACCACAATGGTCTTGCTAGTAAAAATGAAGTATCCCTCTTCGATCTGTGAATTTGCTTTATAGCTCTACCCAGTCACTCCATGTAATCGAACAATTTGCTGTTGGGACAAAGTAGGTTTTGGTTGACGTCAATCCAGGCTTTTCCACAACATTCCATTGGCATGTGCCCTTAAAATCTTTGGGTTTTTTTTCAGACATCCACCAAAACCAACTTATTTGTGACAAATCTTACAGTGTTGCACAAATTAAAAGGTTTTCCTCTCCTATCTAAACTCATCTCAGCTCTGCTTACCTTGCAGATGCATTCCATCAGTGACTTGACCAATTTGTCTTCCAAAGAACACTTATTACACAGTTGTGCAATAATCATGTAAGAAGCACTACAGTACTCAGAAACAGAGGATTTCAAACCCTTCACAATGTAAGGTAGTAAAAAAGTAATGATCTCTTCTGTAATTCTCTCCATCATTTCTAAAGTTCCAACCACAGTCGATGCATAAAACGTAAGTACAACCCTTAAACTTGAAGCTGATCGGTCTAACTCCAAAGCCTTTGGGACCATTTCACATATACTATTCAAGAAAGCCATATCTGTAGTACATTTATTCAACAGGGTAGTTTTGGCAAGAGGCGTCCCTGATTTCTGAAGTGGTTCGAGCCAGTGATAATTAGAAGCTGGATTTCGTACTTTTAATAGCTGGACGACTCGAACGAAGAGGTTTGTCTCGTGATAAGGAAGGATACAAGACACCAATTCATCTTCGTTTGAGATGTGGATTCTGTACCTTCTTATAAGCCATTCCAGTGCCTTGTGCGCTGGCTTCAACAAAAAATACGGTGATAGATACCTCAGAAACTCTGATATTTGCTTATTTAAGCGTTCATTAAATTCTTTTGTCTGCAAAGATCGTTCCATCTTTTTAGAGAGTTCACTAAAGAGAGTTTCTTGGAATGCACCAAAGGCCGGTTCAATGGCTTTGAGTTCTTCAAGTCCATTTGAAGCCAAGGAAAATATAGTCTCATTATCGATATCCGCGGCTTCTCGTCCGTCAAATAATAAAGATGCTTTATGTGCTTGTTTTTTAGTGGCTGGGCCAACTAAATTCTGAGGAATCTGGAGTTGTTTTAGCTGTTTTGCTAAGGAAGACATGTTGAACCGGGCGCACGTGGTGGAAAGCAAAATCCAATATGGCCGCTGATAGGAGCTTGGTTACCAGATATGCACAGGGGAGGGGTCCCTGGGGTTGATTTTTGCTTTCACATAAGACGAACAGATTTTAAAGTAGAAGCTTTACTTTACAAAAATTTAAAATTTGGTTAATTCCAAATTACAACTTAAATAATCTACAAATTTCAAAAGATCTCAAAGGACTGCGCACTGATATTTGGCATCACATACCGATATTTTAAAAATCGTTCATGATGTGGTAAGGATACAATAATATTATTGGTGTGATTAAAGGCTTTTTAAAAAGGTTAAAATGTAAGAGAAAAAGTAGAAATTAAGCGTCTTTTCTCGACATTTACAAAACGGTAGCAAAATATGCCTACGAGGGGAAAACATAGTAAATGTAGGTGAATTCCTCGATAGTAAATCCGGGACATCAAGTAAATAAAGGATGCAAGGGATTGAAAAAGTGTATATGGATATACCATACCAAAGACACTATTTGAGTTCCCCCATGACGTATTAACTTATATTTTAATTGAGAGGCGGAAAGCGACCACTGCTGTGGTCCAAAAAATACTGATTTAATTTATAACTGATGATATGAAACTAAAACTGGGATTTTTAGTATATTATTTGTCTAGTCCTCTTTTGAGATAAACCCATGTTTTTCGGAAAAAAATTATGTGAATTCCGTTATTTTTTCCTGCTGCATTTTGATTACTTTGAATAACTACGTTACTCCACTAATACTATCTTTTCTACGCCTTCAAATACATAAGCTTCAAAAAGGCGAATTGTTCCAAATTTCATTAATTTCCGATTTACAAATTTATCTAAAGTGGGCTCCCTGAGAAAAACCATGCAAACGTCATGTTTTGTATCCTGATAAAACAAAGCCTTCTATTGGTTTTACTTTTTACTCCTCAACCAATTAGATTTCTTGTTAGTAAAAATTGGTAAAGCGCGGGAAAAACAAATGCCTCGACGCGCGCGCGCAGATAAAACCTTTTCGCTGTATTCTCGTTTTTTTGCATCCATTTGATCCATTCATTTTTTGTTGTTTTTTTAGATGAAATAATCTATATTTTAAATTATTTTTACATACAAGAAGTCTACAAGAAGTCAAAAATATTCATGTTATACACGTTGTGCGAAGAAAGAAGACAAAGTTTGAGAAAGAAAACGACTGAAAAACCAAAAAAATGCCTCGGTATTTAGCACTAGATTATCTCACTCAAGTAAGTTACTTTGAAAAAGTAATTTATTCAAAACTTTTATACTTTTTGCTTTATTTTTTTATACTGAGCTATCTATTGTCGTACTGATTTGCAAAGTATAGAGTAAAAATGCTAGATGAAAAATCTTAACAAGGAGATTGCTAACGTTTTTAAAAGCTTATTTTTGACTGAAAAGCTACGCTAATTTATTCAAGTTTTGAAATTTTTACTTTGAAAAAGAGCATAAACTTTAAGCTTAATTGTCAGTTTTCTTTTTCTTTTTTAGGCTATTAATGAAAGAGAAAATAATCTGTACCGCACCTTGCTAGCTGTTCCACATCATCTGGAGTGCGTAGATAGTTATGCACACAAGGGAAAAACAGATGATAAAATATACAGTGTACCTTGGGAAAAAGGTTGGTTTGTACCAAACTTTATGTTTTTATGAGTTAATCACGGAAATTATGGAAATAACAAAGCTTTTTATATCATGCCATAAGAATATTAAATGCATGGCAGAAAAACTGATTTCTGTTTCTGCATCCTGAAAAATTTGGAAACTGAATCCCGAAAAAATCCTGGGGGGAAATTGTCGAACGTTCAGCTTTTCAAAGGGTATGGATAATCTTGATGTATAGCAAAAACATGCCCAAAAGTTTAAATAACAGGATCAATGCTTCTGAACTCTGATTTTGAGATATTTCTTATTTTGGATTTTCACAGCTTCGGTGTAAAGAAATTTCTTCGACTTTATGTATTCTGTGTTGAATAAAGTTCATTATTTATTATTATTAAAATCAGAAAAGTGTGCATTGATGGAACGGACTGGACGTCGGTCAAAGGGATCTTGGATCAAAAAATATATTGTCGAATTTGCAGCTTTTGAGACGGTTAAGATGATCCTAACGTATAGTTAAATCATGCCTGACAGTCTAAAATTTGATTTATGCTTCCAAACTTTGATTTTCGAGAGATTTATTATTTTGGAAAATCAGGAACCGCGTATAGATGGAATGGATTGGAATTCGGACTTTGGATCGAAAATTATTTTTGAGCCGAATTTGCAGCTTTTATCCTATAATATTTATTTAAGTATTCATAACTAGTAATTTTGTAATGAAATTTCTCAAAAAAAAAGAGAATTTTTAAATTTTATAATTGGAAAACATAATAGTGAATCTTGGATCAAAGACAGTACCTTAGGGTTTGACCAACAGTTACTGATTAGATGAACAGATTAATTAGAATGTAACCGATATTAATTGGATGGGCGGATGGGAATAAGAATGTATCTGGAATGGATTGGATAAATGGTAGGAATAAGAATGTATCAGGTGAAATTATTACGTACTAAAGGTATTCGAGGACCAACTTTCCTCCTCACCCCCTCAAAGTGTATCAGGAGTGTTATGATTTTCATTTATGCATGTTTAGAGTTACCTGCTAAAATATTGGATCAGAAGCCAGAGGAATACTTATGCGTGGTCACATCTAGTATATCAAGTTTGGAATGCTTCGGTGAAACCAATAAAACACTAGCAGATGAATTCATTCCCAGCTCCAATCCAGATTCGCCACTGGTCAACTTCGACGTATGGACTGATTTAGAGGAAGAAGTTTTGAACTATGTTGTGGAGTCTTTTAGAACTGAAAATGAGGAATTTTTTCTTGATAACACTTATAATGAAGGTAAGAAAAATTAATTTAGATAACAAACAAAAATAATTCCTCTCCTCTCCTCTCCTCTCCTCTCCATTCTCTCTCCCTCTTTTTTTTCAAGGTCCTCTCCTCCTCATCCTTCCCAAGAGTGGTAATTTCTCATCGATGGTGCGGGGCACTGTAAGATATACACGAGTTACCAACTTAATTTAGGTGTTGAAATCAATGATGCCTCACCCAGACAATCTTGTTTTTAGATGAATATCTGTTAGAGGAGCAAGAATCAACAAATTTAACAGCAGAAGCGAGAAGTCAAATCCCAACCCTGCCTACCCTCTGTGCAAGACTTAAGCCAAAAACAGTACAAGATCCTTTTACCGACCACCAGGGAAATCCAGTATCGGAGCATAATGAATTCAAGTAAGTAAGAGTCTACTTTCCAGCACTGATCATATATATCTAACCTGCATGTATAAAGCGCGTATTTGCTTTGCACATGGATTTTCTCAAAGGTCACTTAAAAAATAGAAATTTCAGTCTTCATTCTGTATTCATTAAGCTTACAACATTGATGCATAAATCTTGCGCAATCTTGAGCAATAGAAGGGACAACTTTCCAAAAAAGCCTTCAAGCAAGGTTTTTGTATATTCTTTTCTGACAGATTGGACATGACATTTACTTTAAGCAATGAAGAAGTGGTGACGAGAAACCAAGTTTTCAAAGAGACATTCACAATGCAGCACTTAGAGACACCCGAGGTGAGTCGGGAAATCCCCAACAGTCTCATACACTTGAGGTTTCTACTTATCCGTCTAGCTTTATTTCATTATCACCAGCTTCTCTTCGGAGAAAACGCCATAGTTAAGTCATATAATTGTTTTTACCTTATATATTTGTTGTTGGCATCAACATGTTCATTTGCGGTTGCTGTGTTTTCAAGGAAAACTTACTGGAACGGAATATGGAGCTTGAAATACCATCATTCGATAGCCCTACTGTCATCCGAGAGAATAGGAATGAAAACCAAGAACTGACCTCTAAAATGCTGTTGGATCTTAATAAAGATAATGCAAGTTATGGAGGTAGAAAAATAAAGCTTATTCATCAATGTGGTGAAATTCCCTATGAATGACTTTGTTTTGTTTCTTCGTTCCTTCATTTTTCCATCCATCCATCCATCATTTTATTTATTCATTAATCACGTCATTCATTTTCATAGCTACTGAAGAGATTCCATTGAATGAGATAAATGCCATCGCAGGAGGAAAAGAGAGCACTACAAGAGCTGTGGAACGATTCAACAACAATGTGGAAGACAGGGCTAGAATGTCAAAATCAATAGATTTTGTAACGATAAATACAGAAGGTAATTAAGACATGTTATCATAGGCAAACTTTTTAACTGGAGTTTTAAGATTTCAACATGCTGCTTACATTATATAAGATATTATTATTACTTCCACTGAAGGATCAACTTGTCCAGATGAGAAGATTTATCTGGAAGATGCTTTAGAGTCTCCACAATTAATGGTTTGTGATCATAACATGATTGGTGCAGCAGACAGCAAAGAATTAGGTGCATCAAAGAATCTCAGTCCAATAAATTTATCACCTGAGAATAAAATGTGAGTACAGTATATGGTGTTAGTGGGGCTCTTGCTAGTCTTTAGCTATAGATAGATGAGTAAAGTAGCACGGGAGTGAGGGAGGGGGAGAGAGGGGAATGGATGGATGGATGGATGGATGGATGGATGGATGGATGGATGGATGGATGGATGGATGGATGGATGGATGGATGGATGGATGGATAAAAGTTAAAGCATTACTTAATATCGCACGTGTCATCAATTTACAGAATAGTCGTAACACCATCTACAAAGAGGGAGCTTATGAACAAAATGTGGCAAGATGAAAAGATGTTTAACGATATTCTGGTGAAGACTTTGCCTGGTAAACACGACAAATACCAACTATAACACCAACATCATACAGTAACAGCAACAGCAACAGCAACAGCGATGACAAAGATGACATGGATCAAAACAATAGTAAAAACAAAAACGCCCCCATCTGCGCTAGTATTCAATATATTGCAACCTTGATGAACATGGCGTC